AAATTTCTTCTTCTAAATCATCACTCTCAACTTCAAAGTTCCACAGATCCATAAAGCAGGGGCCACAATGCAGCTAACCTCTTTGCTAATGCATAACAAAAGTGATCTTGCTCCAGTTTTCAATAAGTTCCTCATGTCCATCTGAGACCTTGTCAGCCTGGACTTTGCTATACATATCACTACTAGCATTTTGGTCATAACAATTTAACAAGCCTCTAGAAAGTTCCAAATTTTCCTTCATCTTCTTGTCTTCTTCTGAGTCCTCCATACTCCTCCAACCTCTGCCCATTACCCAGTTCTAAAGCTGCTTCCACATTTTCTGTATCTTTATGGCAATACCCCACTCTTGGTACCAATTTTCTGTATTAGTTCATTCTCACATTGCTGTAAGGAAATGCCTGAGACTGGGTAATTTATAAAGAAAATAAGTTTAATTAGCTCACAGTTCTACAGGCTGGAGTCCTCAGAAAACTTTTACTCATGGCAGAAGGTAAAGCCAGAACAGGCACCTTCACATGGCCAGAGCAGGAGGGAGAGACACAGGAGCACATGCTACACAATTTTAAACAACCAGATCTTGTGATAACTTACTCTCACCATGACAACACCAAGGGGGATGTTGTTAAACCATAAGAAACTGCCCCTATGATCCAACCAGGGGATCCTACCAGGCCCTACCTCCAGCATTGGAGATTACCATTCAACATGAAATTTGAGGGTAGACACAGATCCAAACCATATAAATCTCTCCCCTAATCATCTCCCCTAAGTTTAGAGCTAAAATGACACCCTGCCTACCCCCGGACCAACTGTAATGCCCTACCCACTTACCTGGCTTCTTTTCCTTCGTAACACATATTTGCTAACCGATGTTTTTGTCTTTTCCCTCACTAGCATGTCAGCTGCACCAGGCAGAATTACATGTGTTCTTTTCTGTACTGAGCCTTGAATGATTCCTGGCACAGAGAATAGGCCCACTAAATAATGGTTGAGTGAACAAATGAACGGATGAAGAAATGACTTTTTATATCATTTACGAAATTTACAAACTCAGCATGTCAGAGCTGGAAGTGACATTTTCAAACATTATTACCACAGAACCCTACGTTCAGATGAAAGTTGATTCACATCATTTTTTAAATGCCCCAAATTAAAATGGCTGCCCTTGACTTTATTCATACTAGTTAAAACCTGGAAACAGCTTGGACATCTGTCAATAAAAGAATGGATCAACAAGCTACGGTATATGCATGCAGTGAAATACTACTCAGCAACAGAAAGGAATGAATTATAAAACTGGGTAGATATGAAAAACATTATGCTGAAACAAAGAAGCCCGGCAGAAAAGAGTGCATGATGTCCCTTCTATTCATACTGCATTCTAGAACAGATGAAACTTATCCAGGAGGTATAAAAAAAACCCAACAGAACAATGTTTGTCCCTGTGAGGTGGCTGGGGAAGGGATTTGACTGGGAAAGAGGATGAGAGAACTTGTGGGGTGATGAATGACTTCTGTATCTTGAATCTTTACAGAGGGGTGGGCTGTACTCAACAAGTGGTGCATGTAAGAATTGTATATTTCAATATATGCATAATTTTTTTTTGAAATTTGTTTTCTTTCATTTTACTTTTAGTTCTGGGGTACATGTGTAGGATTTGCAGGTTTGTTACACTGGTAAATGTGTGTGACAGCAGTTTGCTGCATCAATCAACCAATCACCTACAAATTAAGTCTGACTTGTATTAGCTATTTTTCTGATGTTCTCCCTTCCCTGAAGCCCCACCTGCAGTGGCAAGCCCCAGTGTGCGTTGTTCCTCTCTCTGGGTCCATGTGTTCTCATTGTTCAGCTCCCACTTATGAGTGAGAACATGTGGGGGTGTTTGGTTTCTGTTCCTGTGTTAGTTTGCTGAGGATGACGGCTTCCAGCTCCTTTCATGCCCCTACAATGGACACGATTTCATTCCTTTCTATGGCTGCATAGGATTCCATGTATATATGTACTGCATTTTCTTTATCCAGTCTATCACTGATGGCCATTTTGGTTGATTCTATGTCTTTGAACATTTGATTTTTTAAAAAGCCTTACCACATCCATTACAATTATAAGGTTGCTCTCTACTATGAATACTCTGATGTTTTCATTTTGATGCTCAGGTAAAAGTCTTAGCATGCACATTACATTTGTGGTTCTTCTCAAAGATGTATATTCTGATGTCTAGTGAGTTCTGATGCCTGGGGAAAGCCTCTGACAGCAATGTATGTATAGTTTTCATCTCACAAAAGAAAAATATAAACAAATATTTAGTTGTAGTTAATGATATGCATGCTGAAATGTTTACAGTCATATGTTTGCAACTTCTTTTGAAACGTATCCAAAGAAAGAAATGAGGAGCTTCTCTTTCAGAAAGCTGCGGTAGACATACTTGTCCCATTGCCTCCACTAAGCACCACTAAAAAGTCTGGATGTTATATAAAAAACATATACAAGAAGACTCTGAAAAGTGGAGAGAAGACAGACTAACTAGAGATCTTGAGACTGGAGGAAAAACATGGTGGTGAATGCCCTGGTTTCTTTCTGTCTTGTATATTCCAGTTGCAGAACTGAAGAAGCTGAACTCAGAAATTCCAAATGAGACCCAGAAGGCCCCAACAAAAGCCTGCTCTCTCCAGCCCAAGGAGCTGGACAGTGGTAGCCCAGCAAGACAGGAAAGTTTTAGGCAATAGCCACTCCACTCCATCCAAATACCACAGCCCCACCCAATTCACACAGACCAAGTGAAAAGCCTCGACTTCCATCCTCATCCGCCCGTGTCAAGGCACCCCAACCACCCTGCCCACCCCAGCCCCACCAGGGTGGTGTCTGAGAAGGCTGAGGAGGAAGCTGAGACTTTCATCCCTGCCTGCTGGTAACAAGATCCCCCACAGTTGTGGAAAACATCAAGGGAGCCTGAACTTCCCTCCCCACCCAGCAGAAATGAGGCATTCTTCCCCTTCTGCCATGGTGGTATCAGGGGAAGCCTAGTGGAGAGCCAGAACTTCTACTCCACCCAGCAGTAAGAGAGAGAAGCCTTCTTTGGGGGGTCAACAGAGGCCAAGAGGGGGACCTGAGCTTCCACCTCCGGCAAACGCTTGGCAATAATAGGGCAGTGCCCTCCCTCCCCTTGTCATTCCCACTTCACATCCCCACCACCCCACCATCTTCTCCTACTGAGGCACTGTCAGAGAAAGCCACTTAAAACCGAAGATTAAAGTAAGATCCAATCTCTTAACATAAAATCCCTAATGTCAAGGTTTCACTGGAAAATTGCTCATCATACCAAAAGCCAGGAAGGCCACAAACAGAATGGAAAAAAGACAATTAATACATTCTAACACTGAGGCGACAGAGATGTTGTAATTATCTGCCAAATGCTTTAAAGTAATCATCACAAAAATGATTCAAAGAGCAATGACAGCATTCTCGAAATAAATGAAAAAATCGGAAAGCCCAGAAAATAAAGATAAAATATAGGCAGGGCATGCTGGCTCAGACCTGTAACGCCAGCACTTTGGGAGACTGAGGCAGGTGGATCACAAGGTCAGGAGATCGAGACCATCCTGGCCAACATGGTGAAACCCCATCTCTACTAAAAATACAAAAATTAGCCAGGCTTGGTGGTGTGTGCCTGTAATCCCAGCTACTCAGGAGGTGGAGACAGGAGAATTGCTTTAACGAGGGAGGCGGAGGTTGCAGTGAGCTGAGCTCATGACACTGCACTCCAGCCTGGGTGACAGAGAGAGACTCCATCTCAAAAAAAAGAGATAAAATATAAAGAAGCAGCAGCAACTGGAAATTTCACAACTAAAAAATAGAGTAACCAAAAAATGTTTAAAGCCAGAGAAGGTGCTCAACATCAAAATAATGAGAACACAGGGGAGAAGCAGTGAACAGGAAGACAGGACAATAGAAAACACCTAATCTGAACAGCAGAGAGAAGGCAGGCAGGAGATCAAAATGAACAGAGTCTCAGGGGCCAGTAGGGCTATAACAGAAGACCTAGCTTCTGCAGCACTGGAATCTGGAAGGGGAGGAAAAGAGGACAGAACTAAAAAAAAAAAAAATTACTCAAAGGAATAATGGCTCAAAATTTCCCAAATTTGGCAAAAAACATTAACATAGAGATTTAAGAAGCTGAGCAAATCTCAAACATAACAAACCTCAAGAAATTCACACTAAGTCACATCACAGTCAAACTCTTGAAAGCCAAAGACAAACAGATGGTGCATTAGTCACAGTTCTCTAGAGGGACAGAACTACTAGGATAGATGTATATAAAGGGAGTTTATTAAGGAGTATTGACTCACATGATCACAAGGTGAAGTCCTATAACAGGCCATCTGTAAGCTGAAGAGCAAGGAAGCCAGTCTGAGTCCCAAAACTTCAAAAGCAGGGAAGCCAAGAGTGCAGCCTTCAGTCTGTGGCTAAAGGCTCATGAGACCCTGGCAGACCAGTGGTGTAAGTCCAAGAGTCCAAAAGCTGAAGAACTTGAGAGTCAAGGGCAGGAAGCATCCAGCATGGGAGAAAGATAAAGGCTGAAGACTCAGCAAGTCAAGTTTTTCCACATTCTTCTGCCTGCTTTTATCCTAGCAGCACTAATAGCCGATTAGATAGTGCCCACCCAGACTGAGAGTGGGTCTGCTTCTCCTAGTTCACTGACTCAAATGCTAATCTCCTTTGGCAACACCTTCAGACACACCCAGGAACAATACTTTTCATCCTTCAATCCAATCAAGTTGACACTCAATATTAACCATCCATCATGGATAGATAGATAGATAGACATATGTCTATGTGACATAGTTCAATACAGATGTGTATATTGAAAGAAGAGAGAAATAACACCTATAGGGAAAAAAATCAGCAAATTTTTCTTAGAAACCATGAAGACTAGAGTACTGTCAGGTGCTGATAGAACTGCCAGTCCAGAATTCTATATCCAGCTGAAAGATTCTTTCCAGTGAAAATGTCCTTCAGGAATAAAATGGAAAGCAGGCATTCTCAGGAGAGGGAAAACCAAAAGTATCTTTTACCAGCAGACATACTACAAATGAATAGCTAAAAGAAGTTTTCTAAACAAAAAGCAAACAATAAAGAAAGGAATATTGGAACATCAGTAAGGAGGAAAGAACATATTAACATATTAGCATAATAGTAAGCAAAAATATTGGCAAGCACAATAGATTTTCCTTCTTCTCTGGAGTTTTCTAAATTATGTTGACAGTTGAAGTGAAAATTATAACTATCTAATGTGATTCTAAATGTATGCAAAGAAAATATTTAAGCAATTATATTATAAACAGAGAGGGCAATAGGACATAAAGAGAGGTAAGTACCCCATGCTTCACTTGAGCTTGTAAAATGATGGCACTGGTAGACGGTACGTCTCAACATATATAGAAAATATTTTGATAAAACCCAGTAAACATTCCTGATTAAAAGTCTAGCAAACTAAGAATAGATGGAAACTTCTTCAACCTGCTAAGGGAACATCTATGAAAAGCTTATAGGTAACATCATTCTTAATGGTGAAAGACTGAGTATTTTCATCTTAAGATCAGAAATTCTCACAAATTCTATTCAACATTGTGCTGAAGGTGCTATCCAATGCAACAGCAAGAAATAGAAATAAAAGAGATTGAGGCTGGAAATAAAGAAGAAAACCCGTCCTTATTTGTAGAGGACATGAGAGTGTATGCAGAAAATCCTATGGAATAAAAAGACTACTAGAACAAAAATGTGACTTTCATAAAATGTGACTTTCAAAATATAGAATATAAGGCTAATGTACAAAATCGATTATGTTTCTATATACTTGCAATGAACAACTGGAAATTGAAATTTTAAAAATACCATTTAAAATGTGTTAAAACATATAAAACAGGGCAAATGTGACAAGAGATAGAAAGATCTGTACATTGGAAATTATAATGTAATTGCTGAAAGAAATTAAAGAAAACCTAAGTAGACAGATATATTTTGTTCATAGGTCAGAAAACTCAATATTTTTAACGTGTAAATTTCCCTTTCACCAAATTGATCTTCAAATAATTTGAATTGTAAGTTTTCATGAAATTGATCTATAAATACAATGCATTCTTGATCAAAATCTCATAAGGATTTTTTCTTTGGTAGAAATTGACGAACTGATTTTAAAATTTGTATGCAAATGGAAGGCACCTAGAACAGTCAAAACAACTTAGCAAAAGAAGGACAAAGTTTGTAACGAGTTGAGACTTGTTATAAAGCTACATTAATTAGGACAGTGGAACCTTCTATTACTGGCACTGCTTATACAGAAGCAACCAACAATTCCTTCTCTCTCCATAATGATGCTTCTAAAATCGAGAGGTGGAGTCTCACACTCTTCTCTTTGAATCTGGTCTGGCCATAGCAACTTGCTTTCCTTATAGAATATGGCAAAAGAAACTTTATAGGATGTGTAAGCTAGGTCAGAAGAAGCTTTGCAGCTTCTGCCTGGGTCTCTTGAAACATTTGCTTTTGCAAAAGTCATTCGAAGGTAAGCCACTACTAAAAAGTCTGACTTTTCTGAGAATGCCATACTGTGAAGAAGTGAAAACTAGACACGTAGAGAGGCTGCAGGGAGAGTTAGAAGCTCAATCATCCCCCAGCTGTTCCAGCCAACTCCACTGAGGTGCTAGATATGGAAATGAAGGAGTCATATGGGGCCTTCAACCTCCTTAAACCTCCATATTGCTGCTCCAGCCATCATCCAGCTGCAAATGTATGAGAGACCCCAAGTAAGAATTGCCCAGCTGAGCCTGGCCAACCACAAATGTCAGGAGAGATGATAATAAATTGCTGTTTCAAGGCCAAAAAATAAATCAAGACAAACATCAATAGAACTTTAGAATCAAGAATCCAAAAACAGACTGATTTTTGACAAAGATGTAAAGCAATGCAGCAGAGAAATGTCTTTTCAACAAATGTTGAGGGAACCAATGGCCACACACAGGCAAAAAAGTAAACTTTGCTCCATACCTCACACCATATTTAAAAATAGGTTCAAAATGTATCATTATGGATTGAAATGTCTACTGCTTCTAGAAGAAAATAGGAGAAAATTGTTGTGACCTTAGGCTAGGCAAAGATTTCTTACATCAAAAACATAATCTGTAAAAGAATATACTGACAAATTGGATTTCTTTGAAATTAAAAACAAAAGACATTGTTAAGAAAATGAATAAACAAACTACAGGCTTGAAGAAAATATTTGCAAATCATATACTTAATAAGGAACTTGTATCCAGAATACATAAAAAACTCCCAAAATCCGATAATAAGAAATCAAACAATCCGAAAAACAAATGGGCAAAATATCTAAACAGACCTTTCACCAAGGAAAAGTTATGAACAACAAACAAATGTATGAAAAGCTTCCCATCATTGTTAGTCACTAGGGAGATGCCCATTAAAATCACAATGAGATACCACTATGCACCCATTAAAATGAGTACCATAGAAAAGACTGACCTTAGGAAGCACTGTCCAGATGCAGCGCAAAGGAACCTCTCACACACTGATAATGGGTTTTAGAAATGATAAGACTGTCATTAGCCTAATCTTTTCCAATCCCAGGGAATTACTGTCTAAATTTCTTCTCAGCTCAGTCTTCCTCTTCACAGGGCCATGGTAAAACCAGCTTTCCAGTGTCTCACAAGGGCACCCCCGCCAGTAGTGAGTTTTGCACTTTAAGCAATCTGGGGTAGCTCTAGCTTAGGAATAATTTTTCTGGTGTTTTCTTTGAGGCACCAGGCAAAGAAGGCCATGAGACACAGCCTATTATGTGTTCAGTGGTCTGTCCAGCGCTCTTGGATTTGCTTGTTGGTTCCTTTGAGGTGTCTTGAAAGGCAGCACGGTGCCCAATTAAATGAAAGCCAGGAAGGTATAATGCACCACGACTGTCAGCAATCAACTCTGGACAGTTTGTTGAGGATTGAACAAGACTCTGTGTGTTTCAGCAAGTGCTTTTCTGTCTGCATCTCTGTCTACAGTTAGAAGAAGGGGCCAGGTTGAGGCCAGGAAAGATTCTGCTTTAGTTGATAAAAGGAAAGCTCTGTGCCAGGAACCCTGTGGTTTTCTGTCTTTGGAAATTCTCCCCTCCGGGGCTCGGGAGGAGAGATAGATACCTTCCCCCTAAAGAATCATATCGCCTATTGCCCAGGGGAAGCAATTCTCACACATCCGGTCTGGGAGACCCTGATCCCCCCGGGCTGTGTACTCGATTTCAGGCCAACAAGACACCAAGTTTTCTCTCTTAAATGTTTTAACTGTCGAGTTCCATGCCCCGCCTCCTCCGGCTTCTTGCCCTGCAGGGATAGGCGGAGGGAGGCAGTTTCTAGGCTGGGGAGGGAAAAGGACGGGCGGCGCGCGGTGCGGTGGGCGCGGGTACGGGAGGGCAGCGCAGCCCAGGCAGCGTGCGGCCTCGCTGTGAACTTGATCGCGGACGAGGCTGGGCGTGTAGCGCGCTGGAGCTCCAGATCCTGACAAAGCCAGGCTGCCGGCTCAGCTTTGTGTTGTAACAAAAAACGTTGCCTTTTACCTTTCCTAAAAACAAGTCTGGGGATCGGTTAGTTTCAGTCACTCTGAAATGACCAGAGAAATCTCTTAGAGCCAAAATCAGTCAACGCGGAAAAGACAAGCCAGTTTTAAAAACCAATAGGTAGTTGATAAATGGAGCTGTCGGTCTAGAAGCCCCCTGGGCCCAGCGTGCTTCTACAGAGCCGAGTATTTTAGAGTCAGAGCTCTCTGAGATTCCAGCTGGTCGACCCGGCGGGGCTCCTGCTGGCCTCACAGCGCACGTGGCTTTGCGGGATATGATGCAACCTCAGCCTGGGCTTAACTGATGCTAGGCACCAGGCTGTGGATCCAGAAATCCCTGGACACGCAGAGGGCCAGCTCTATCCCTCATCCAATTTCACATTTTTTTTAAACCCTCGAAAGATCCAGATGCCGCTCTGGGGAGAAAAGATGTATTGAAGATTTATAAATGGAGCAATCTCCTAATCAAAATAAACATCATCCAATCATGCTCACAGGGTGGCAAATTAGTGGCAGGATATTTTGCTTTCTTTAGCAGTGATCCATGATTGATTTATGGATTAAAATGTGTCCTATGAAGTACATATATTTCTGCGAACTGTCTCCCTAAGCATTTCCTGTTTGCCTCTGTGCCACATGCCTGGCTGAAGGAGAGAATTGTTTCTCCCCCAGGCAGGCGCTCTCATGGTTCCTTGGGCTGGGATGGTGTCTGCTTAGGGCTGCCTTGAGCTCTGTCTTCTGCTCGGTCCCCTGAGCCCAGCAAAAGGCCCATAACAAGGAAGGCAGACTCTCCTACACATCCGCTGGGGCCCCTGGCTCTTCATCTGTGAAGTGGGACAATAATGCTTGTCTTACCAGGCTGATAGTGTCCTTTTGAGGATGCAGTTAATTAAGGATGGGAAAGACGCTGTTGACTGCAGCTTTTGTCGATCCATTTTGCTTGTCTGTGAGATAAAGGAGAGGATACAACTTTATCAGTAATGCTTCAGTTATTTTATTTTTTTTTAAAAGTTGCAGTAAGCATTATAAAATATTGCAGTTGTTACTTTGGAAAGTGGCTACACAGGTGTTTATGTTATTCTCTATGTTTTCCTGTATCTATCAAGGTCTTCTGATCCAATAAAAAGAAAAGAAGAGACAAGAAGAAAGAGGAGTTATATGAAATCTGGTACTCTTTACTTGGACTTTCTCTGGTTCTATGGACAGGAAAATGCTCACGAAACCCGAGTCCTGTAGGAATGAGAGGTATGACAGTTATTCATGATATTTCTATTCCTTCCATTGCTCTGGGGATTCACTAAAATCCTGCAGTAGGCTTCAGCCCCATTTGGCTAAGGCAGTAGTTTGCTCACCAGGCTGGTTTGCTGGTGGGATAAGAATTTTCTAGCTGAAGAAAGGTAAGCCTAGGATGA